AAATGCTTGTCAAGCTGCATCATAAGAAAAACACTTTTTGGTGCTATACAGAACCATTTTCAAAAGGTTTCTAAATAGAACAGAAATAGAATACAACACATTCTGCATCAGTCTGAAGAACCAGAAAAGTGACGTTTAGAGTTGAGAAATCAATCCACGGTTTGGACAGAATTCTTGTGTGTGAAAGGGAACCAGCGATACTGAGCCCCTCCCCCAAATGAGCCCAGAATCCCAGACTCAAGCACTCGGGACAAGTGTGAAAACGCCCTAATCGGGTTAATGCAGTCTTTTCACTCCAGATCAGGCCCTGTGTTAACACCATCCACCACTGTGCTCTGAAATATATGGCAAATCTGCTTTTCTGTGAACTGAGTCATGTTGAAGTCACTCTGTCTTTTCCTATCTCGACTCAAAGGTCTGGAACGTCTGCTCTTCAGTCGCTCTGATCTGGAATGACCCAGTCTGTCCTAACCTGACTTTAAATGAATGAATCAAAGTGAAGTACAGGAACACAAAGCTGAGGGGCATCTGAGGAATTCCCCCAGCATCGGCGGAGTTCCTCCAGCATCGGCGGAGTTCCTAGAGCAGGGATTTAGTCTTTATTTCAACAGCGATAAGACCCAGCGTGTGTAATCCACTCCCCAGTGCAGCGTAGGATTTCTCTTCCTGCAGCCAATTAGCCCCTTTTTCCAAATTTGCCCTTTCCTGCGTTTAGCTAGATTACAGGGGAAGGAAAATAAACCACTCTGCGACTCACAAGTTACTCTTTCACCAAATCCTATTTACATAATTCATACAGGTAACTTACACCAGCGCTGCTATGACAGACAGACAGGATCTATGCATCACAGCGCCGGCGAAGCTAAACATTAGCCTGTTACCTGCGAATGTTCAACTGGACACGGAAAGAAGAATGAAAAGTCAGCCCAAAGGCCGGCGGGTTTACCGGCAAAATGACGTTCATTTCAACTGAATTCACCACAATGAGTGACTTCGCATCACAGACTTAAGTAAAAGCATTCTGCATGCGAAACTTCACACATCTGTAAACTATGACACACAAATTTGCATCTTCAACCAGTACATAGCTCATTAAGGGGAGCCTGGCCACTTCTTGTTTCTCCTATTAGTTCAGAAACATGACTGCAAAACACTAGAGGGCGCCTGTGTAAGTCTTCAATGAATGGGAGTTAATGGAGCTTAATGACTAAAAACCAATACTGAAACTTGTTGGTTAGCATTACTGCTACTGAGTGCTGATTGGTTAGCATTACTGCTACTGAGTGCTGATTGGTTGGCATTACTGCTTTTGAGTGCTGATTGGTTTGCATTACTGCTACTGAGAGCTGATTGGTTGGCATTACTGCTACTGAGAGCTGATTGGTTGGCATTACTGCTACTGAGTGCTGATTGGTTGGCATTACTGCTACTGAGTGCTGACTGGTTGGCATTACTGCTTTTGAGTGCTGATTGGTTTGCATTACTGCTACTGAGAGCTGATTGGTTGGCATTACTGCTACTGAGTGCTGATTGGTTGGCATTACTGCTACTGCGTGCTGATTGGTTGGCATTACTGCTACTGAGTGCTGATTGGTTGCCATTACTGCTATCAAGAGCTGATTGGTTAGCATTACTGCTACTGAATGCTGATTGGTTGGAATTACTGTTACTGAGTGCTGATTTGTTGGCATTACTGCTACTGAATGCTGACTGGCTGGCATTACTGCTACTGAGTGCTGACTGGTTAGCACTGTTGTTACTGAGAGCTGATTGGTTGGCATTACTGCTACTGAGTGCTGAATGTGTAGCATTACTTCTACTGAGTGTTGATTGGTTGGCATTACTGCTACTGAGCACTCACTGGTTGGCAAGCTGATCAGCCCGTTGGCTAAATAAAGTGGATCATGATCAGTGACATCGTAATACACCCTGTTAGAAAGTCCCATAACTCGAGTTCAATAATATAACAGCAGTGGTGAAATATTTGATGCTGTTATGTGTTCAGGAAATTTTATTATGAATTATCCTATACAAAAAAAAGATTGAGCATTTCCAAAGTATGATATTTCACAAATGCTCCTCAGGAACCAATTAATTTAATTTACCAATAAGACAAACCCAGAAGACATTACCGAGTGCCAATTCTTCTTGCTACAAATTCTCTGCAACAGCACTACTGCTCTGCTGTGCTGACCTCTGAAGGAGTGCAGTTTTGTTGACTTCATACTTACTTATAAAATGTTGGTCCATTCATCATGAAATTTACACAGAATGAAAAGGTCAACCAGCCTGTTCACATTATTGTTTTTTAAAAATATACAAATATACAAGGTTATGTTATGACAGCAACAACATATTCCTTTTTTTTGTGTGGGCTGTTGCTAACCTATGAGATACTTTTGCACATTTTGTACTTTCGGGAAAAGTGTACACTTGATCTCCTGCCAGAGATTTAAGGATAAGGAAGGTTCTGTGAAAAGAGTTACATCGAGCTATGCATTCAAACTATGCCAGCAATGCAATCCCGTCACATCATTTGTAAACACTCTGGCTGTGGGGGAGTGAGTAGAGGAATGCAGTCTGAAGAGCTCGGCCCGCTACCTCAGCAACACTCACCGCGGCTCCAGGGAAGGAAAAAAGCAGCTAAAAGCGAAAAGCAGTGGTCACACACGGCCAGCTCTCCAAACCACTCTCCAGCCCAGGCAGGGTCAAGCACCCTCCCTGACCTGACGAACAAAGGAGGAGATTCCTCCAGACCTCAGAGCTTCACGTGGACGGGCCACGAGAGACGAGGCAGTACGAAACTCTCCAATCGTGATATCAGGGACCGTAATGATTCCAGTTTTCTGTATATTTTTAAATATACATTGAAAATCATCAAAAACACTGTGCAACAGGTTTTAATCCCAGTGCTCTGCACATTTTAACCCTTTAAAATCTCAGTCTTCTTACATATTAAGGCTTATTATTCAGTACCTACAGGGACTTCAGGGCAAACTGGCCAAGCTATTCTTAGGTTATATAAGTGTGTAATAAAACTTTGGGCCTGCTGACGGGCCCATGGCCGTTTGAGTGGTCAAGCTGATTAGCAGCCTGTATTTGTATGTGTGTATGTGTCCATGTTTTCTCAGGAGCTCCTCACTGAAAATTCCACTGTAAAAATCCATTTACATGCAGGTTGGAATGATTCACGCTCATCTTGCTGTACTTCACTTGCAGTAATCTCACTCACTCTTCCCTCAGTTCACTACTTTTATATGGCTAAATCTCAACATAACTAATTTATGTTAAGTTATGAAAGGTCATACACCACCAACAAGCCTCAACAACAGGCAACAAGCCTTAAATCATCACAAACTCAAAATGCGTCACTTTGTTAAACTCAAGAAAGACTTGCTTATGTATGTTAGATGCTGTAATCAACATAAACACAGTGTTCAGTGTTCCGACTTCAGGAAGGTTGCTGCCACTACTTTTGTACTATAAGCCTGTCACATCCTATTGGTAACAGTGGTAAACTGGTAAATCTCACGCTTGTTCATTCACTCATATAGTCGCTGTCCAAAGAAAAACATGTATCTCCATTTTTTGCGATTTTTACTTTTATGCATCATTTGAGCTCAGTAGCTGTCCTTTACGTTGTGTGAAAATTTCATGATGATCGGACCAATAGAAATGCTCCAAAATTGCTTGGAAATTAATGGACGCACATACTGTGTCCACTCGCTGTCCACTCTATTAGACACTCCTACCTTGTCAGTCCACCTTGTAGATGTAAAGTCAGAGACGGTAGCTCATCTGCTGCTGCACAGTTTGTGTTGGTCATCCTCTAGTCCTTCATCAGTGGTCACAGGACGCTGCACCACAGGACGCTGTTGGCTGGATATTGTTGGTTGGTGGACTATTCTCAGTCCAGCAGTGACACGGAGGTGCTTAACAACTCCAGCAGCACTGCTGTGTCTGATCCACTCAGACCAGCGCAACACACACTAACACACCACCACCATGTCAGTGTTACTGCAGTGCTGAGAATGATCCACCACCCAAATAGTACCTGCTCTGTGAGGGTCCATGGGGGTCCTGACCACTGAAGAACAGGGTAAAAGGGGGCTAACAAAGTATGCAGAGAAACAGATGGACTACAGTCTGTAACTGTAGAACTACAAAGTGCACCTATATAGTAAGTGGAGCTGATAAAATGGACAATGAGTGTAGAAACAAGGAGGTGGTCATAATGTTACGCCTGATCTGTGTATATTCAGAGTAAATCCACCTGGATTAGTACAGCGAAACCTATCATGTACTTCTATGATGTTACAAATGCAGTAAAATTAACACAATGCACATATTTTAGCACAGTAACCCAGCGTCACCTAAACATTACTGGGCACAAAAACTAGATACCAGTTTGAAATATCGGTCAAATCTAAACATCTGCCCATCGCTGATGTGTTTTTATGCAGATATCTGCAGACATGGTTCTGATATCATTGTGAATCCCAGTTTTTTAGAATCATTCAAATTTAAAACTGTATGTGTATCACCGGGTTTCTGTTGTGGTCTATTATTAAAACCGGTAACCGTCCCATTCCTGCTGGCCACGCTGGGAGGCCACAGCTACCACAGGCCTTCAAAAGGGAAGCCGCGTGTACGGGCCAGGATTAGCAAAACTGGGCCCGATCCAAGCCGACCCAAACAGCAAGAAGGCCCGGAATGCAATAATCACACACGCAAGAGCAGCCACCCACTTAATCTTCACTCACTCTTTCATTACTAAACCGTTCCCCCCGAAGGTTTTGAAACGCTTCGCTTAAGATTTGAAAAAGGAGCGGCGAGAAAAAAAAAAAAGCGTTTAATTATGGAGTAGTGTACTATTCTCAAGCCCTTTTTTCTCCTGAGTAGCCCCACAATGTTGGAATTCACTATTTAAACGTCCAGATCAGATGCTTCCCTTGCCCTTTCACCCAGACCATTTCATCACAATACCGAAATCTACTCACAAGCCTGGATTATCCCATCGCTTTATATGGACCTTTATATGGAACGAGAGATTTGGAGCTTGCCCCTCTCTCTCCCTCCCTCTCTTCAAAACAGAGCAAACCCAAAAAGAATCAACCACTCAAAAGCATCAACATCATCCAAACCAAAAACCCCCCCGAGGGAGCCTGGCCTGCAGTATTTCCAGTGAAGAGTAACGTTCCCATTAGAAAAACAGCAAGAATGTCCTGAGGATCGAGGAAAGTGACATTATTTCAGACTACACTGGGATCGATCTGGGACCTGCGGTCAGTCCACCAAAGAGCAGGTCACAGGGGAGAGAGATAAGGCCAGGTTAGTGACCGAGCAGCCAAGGACAAACAAATCCAGCATGGCATGAAAGCAAAACACAGCAAGTGCAAATCCATGACAGCCTGACCTCACAATGAATTCACTGTACAGAGCGATTCTGACGGTTTTTCATGAATGAACGAGGAGGAAAAGCCTCAAATTTCCAAATGTTTTACTATGCTGAAAAGTGCCTCTCCGCTGCAGTCTTGACCAAAATCGAAAATCAGATACATTAAGCCTGATCCAGGGCTATTTTACCTGATTTAAGGCTATTTTCATCCCATTAAAGGAATATTTTGTCTTTTTTCAACCTACAATAACAATAAAATGCCCCTCAATGCACTATATCTGCAGCATATGTACATACAGACAATCACTTGAAGAGTACTGAAGTGTAAGTGTTTAGTCAAAGAATGGAAAACATCCTGCTTTTTGAGTGAATAGTTTTTCTGTTCTTGAGAAAAAGCAGAGGACTCCTTTAAGGGGGAATTCCAAAGATTTTTATTAAATCATTGAGATGTAAGCAAACCTTTTCATGTTTTGCTTCTGAAATGGTTTGTTTACAGTGGTGGTGATAGGAACCAGGGGTCACAATGTCTACAACACTAATATAAACATCTTATTTACTATCTGAAACCACCAGAGAACCTACACAAGTCTTCTGAGTTTTATATGGAATGATGATGATGGTAAAATAGTGGGAAATCTGTAAAAATGCATTTTCTTTAGGGCCTATTTTGTGTTATAACACTGTCCATGAAACTTTTCCCCATAAATGGATTCAAAAAGTACATTTTAGACAAAGAATTAATCTTAAAACTCTTGTAAACAATGTCTCAGGCATCAGGCAGTGAATTCATAACCATTTCATATAATAACTTCCCGTGAGGGAGCTTTTAGAGGTGGACGTCTGGTTCCTATCACCACCACTGTGAACAATTCTGACTCAGTAAGTTTCTTTAGAACAGAGTATTTCACACCAAACCACTCTGAATGACTTTGTTTACATCTTAACCATTTAATTATGCAGAAACAGGCTTCCTCATCTCAGTCCTCGGTACATTTTTGTTGCTCTGCACATTTTTGTTTTCCCTATTTTAGATCCAGCTCAGGAAAAGCTTTGTTAACTAGTTAATGAGTTGTAACAGATGTGTTAAATGTGGGAAAACACAATAACATGCAAAGTGTGGGACCACCAGGAGTGTAACTGGTAACTGCTGCTGTAGGTCGTATTAGATCCTACTGGTACCGATCTTGAGCAGGTACCAAAAAAAACAAGGAACCATCAGCAGTGGACTGATGACCAATGGAAAAAGCACAGTTCCAGTTTTCTGGCGCCAAACTGTTCTGGTTCAGTTTTAAAGTGGAAAATGAAAACAGCCCAACGGACACTATCAACTTCACCATGACAGACAACCAATCTCATGATGAGGACTGTAGGATCTCAGCTCACCTTTGGAGTTAAAGGCCTCTTTGAGGTGAAGCAGCACGTCTGCGAATCTCCGGACGTCGCTGACCAGCTGCATGATGTAGTCCGGGTCGGCGCCGGCCGCATCCAGACTGTCCGATCCAGAGCTAATAGAACTCAGGGAGCCGCTCTTAGTGGTACGGCCCAGACCCCAGCTGCCCGAGCCAGACCTGGAGCCGGAGCCGGAGCCGGAGCCGGATCCGGAGCCCAGAGGGAGAAAGTGGGAGTTGGAGAATCGCGCGATGCGTTTATTTCCTACGCTGCTCTGCTGCAGCATCCCGCCGGCGAACATCCCAACCACAGCCAGCTCGGAAAACCACAGAACGATGCTTTCACAAGTCTCTGAAGATCCACAAGGGTCCTCACCTCACCGCCAGCAGCTCCTGGACACGAAACAGGGTTTTAAACATCAGCAGCTCAAGACGGTTCAGAACACATTAGAATCAATTATAATCAACGATAATGATGAACAATAAAGGATTTGATCATATTTTACAGGCAAAAGAATAGCCTAGACAGAGAACCAATAGTGCACACAGTCAACAGCCCAAACCAGTGGTCCTCAAGTCCAGTCTTAGAACCATCTGCACCATCTATAGTTGTCCAGTACTCAAGAACATCCAGTTCATATGAAGAAGGTTTGGACGGTTAGCTGATCTTTTGAAGGTGCAGGTTGATAAAAGACAAAATGTACACAGTTTTTGGTTCTTTACTTGGTGAAATGGTTCTTCAGATTGATGGAACATGTGTTGTATATGGTTCCATAGAGAAGCTTTTCAAAAATGGTTCTATAGCAACAAAAAGGGTTCTTGTATTGCTACGATGTCAAGCTTGTAACAACAAAAGAACCCTTTCTGGTGCTATGAAGAACCATTCCACCATGCAAATGGTTTGAAAATGGTTGGGGTGGGATGAGGACTATTCGTTCTACATACATATAGCATTACATGACCATAAGGGCTGGTGCTGCTGCTCTGGCCTCCCCTTCTGCAAAAACACACACTGTTCTCTCACGAGGGGCGTCTCTTCCACAACGCTCAGCTGAAACCTTGTTGTTCTGCGCCTCTGAAACGGTTCCAGCTCAAATAAACAAGCCGAAAGACTTCACACCAGGTCCAACGACCAGGCCCGTTCTGGGCCAGACACCTCCGAACTTCCTCATCAGGTAGAGGCTCAAGTTTGTGAAGTTTGTGAGGCAGTTTTAGGGGGAGAGATGAAGTCCTCACTTCCTCTTCTTCCTCAATAAACCTGAAATCTTATCACAGCCATTCTAAATCACTCTGGGAGCAGCAAGAGGTGGATTTTAAACCAGGAGCCACACAGAATAAGCAGGGCTTGAGGATACAAGCAACGGTAAATAAAGCAATGAAAAAGGCTTCTCTTCTACTTTTATTACAGGCAACAATGAGAACTGCTTATCACATGTGTAATTACAGCAGCATTACGTGGTAATTAGCAGTAAAAGTTTGGAAAAGGACACACTGTGGTGATCCCTGTGCCTTAGTCACATAGGAAACCAGTTAACAGCGCATACATGAGCCAAACTGGAGGATTTCATATAAACCTACAGCTTTACAGGTCATATTTGGGTTTTCTGTGACTAACAGTGACTCATCTGTGAGTTTCTCAGTCCACATTATCAGCAGACCGAGCTCTGAGTGAGAGAACCCGTTGATAATAGAGCGGAGTGACCCTTTAAATGGGGGTAATAAACAGCGCAGGTCAGCTTTCTCCATCTTCCCGTCTCCATGAGCTGCTGGTGCTGCTCAGAGTAACGCAGTCAAAGCCCGAGCGCATTTAAAAGGCTCAGCAGCTCCTTCACGAGCCGCTCAGCAGACAGAACCCATAGAACCGACAGAACCCAGCTTTCCTCTCTCTGCTCCTGAAAACAGGGAGAAAACACGAGCAGCGTTAGCGAGACTCACCTGATGAGGAGCATTCCGCACTCAGAGCGACCCTCAGACACTCCAAACACGGGACCCCTCTTTCTCTCTCTCTCTCTCTTTCTCTCTCTCCCGACTTCGACTCGAGCCTCGAAACCGCAGCGTGCTGGCTTCGTGAGAGGCCCCGCCCCCTCCACGGTGATTGGACCTTTAAGAAACTTCTGATTGGCTGCAGGAGCTTGTGAAAAAGCAAAGTCTCTCAGAGCCCCGCCCCCCGGCCAGAGCAACAGGTAACACAGGCAGCCTCGTAAGCAGAATGAATGAATGAACGAATGAATAAGTAGCCTCGAAAATGATTTCAAATAATATTTTTAATAGTAAAGAAAGAAAGAAAGAAAGAAAGAAAATCTTAAACATCATGGGTGATTCCAAAAATAATAATTTAAATGAATGAATAAGTAAATAAACAAATAAATAAATAAATAGCATCGTACGTGATGTCAAAGATAATAATTTTAATTAGAAAAAAAGAAAGAAAAAAAATAAATGGTCTTAAACATCGTACGTGATTCCAAAAATAATAATTTTAATAAATAAGTAAATGAATAAATTAGTAAATAAATAAACAGCCTCATATTCCTCATGAATGTTTCCACAAATACGTATTTAATAAATAAATAAATAAATATATAAATATAAATATAAGTAGATATGTAAATAAATAAACTCGTGATTCCAAAAATAATAATCTTAATAGATAGACAGATAGACAGTATCATATGCCTCACAAGTGTTTCCAATAATACTAATTTTAATGAATAAATAAATAAATATTTAAACTATCTAACTAACTAACTAACCGGGGATGCCAAAAATAATAAGTTAAATAAATAAATAAATAAATAAATAAACTAACTAACTAACTAACTAACTAACTGGGGATGCCAAAAATAATAAATAAACAAACTCCTGGGTGATTCCAAAAATAATAGTTTTCACATTCAGAAAATAAATACACAGACATGTATTTCTTATGTGTCTGATTCGTTTCAAACATATTGTTTCATTTCAAAATGTATTTCAAACACTTCAAACTACATTAAGCACATTTTGCCAATTTTCACACATTTATTATACTTATTTTATGAATACATTTTATGTTTATTTCCTTTCCATGTAAGTTTCAACACTAAGTCCAAGAAAACATACATTTAACCGCCCAATTTCAAAGTCAATCCACCAGAGAAACAATATATTCTTCATTTTTAAGGTTCCTTTGCCAATAGTGTCTAAAATGGGAATGTCATCCTTTTTCATATTTTCTATACAATGTTTAAATGGTTGAGATATGAACAGAGTCATTCAGAGTGGTTTGGTGTGAAACGCTCTGTTCTAGAGAAACTTACCAGTCAGAACTGTTCACAGTGGTGGTGATAGGAACCAGACGTCCAGCTCTAAAATCTCCCTCACAGAAAGTTATTAGAGTAAATAGTTATGAATTCACTGCCTGATGTCTGACACACTGTTATTGTTTTCATGGTGGAGAGATACATGCAGGCCTGGAAAGGTACCCAGATTTTCCACCATGTTACCATAATCAACATCCCATATAAACGACTCGTGTAGGTTCTCTGGTGGTTTTTGATAGTAAATAAAATGTCTATATTTGTGTTGTAGTCATGGTGACCCCTGGTTCCTATCACCACCACTGTAAAGACATCTGAGTCTGTAAGTTTCTCTACAGAGAACCATTTCACACCAAACCACTCTGAATGACTCTGTTCATATCAGTAATAGAGCTATTTTGGTGGAATTCTCCTTTAAAGGCCTAACAGTGGGCGCAGTAACCGAGATTTAAATATATAATTAATAATTATACAAAATGTAGTTACCTAGCATCCAACTATTAATTAATATGTAATATGCAATTAATATGTAATCTATCATTTAGGAAACAGAGTTGTACTTAGACTGGGATTATAGATGGAGCTTGGCTAGTTAGCTGACATTACTGCAAATCATCTTGTTTCACTGGAGATTAAATGGAGAGTAAAGTGTCGTCATCCGCCTTCCTACATACACACCAATCAGGCATAACATTCTGACCACCTCCTTGTTTCTACACTCATTGTCCATTTTATCAGCTCCACTTACTATATAGGTGCACTTTGTAGTTCTACAGTTACAGACTGTAGTCCACCTGTTTCTCTGATACTTTGTTAGCCCCCTTTTACCCTGTTCTTCAGTGGTCAGGACCCCCATGGACCCTCACAGAGCAGGTACTATTTGGGTGGCGGATCATTCTCAGCACTGCAGTAACACTGACGTGGTGGTGGTGTGTTAGTGTGTGTTGTGCTGGTACGAGTGGATCAGACACAGCAGTGCTGCTGGAGTTTTTAAACACTGTGTCCACTCACTGTCCACTCTATTAGACACTCCTAACTTGTTGGTCCACCTTGTAGATGTAAAGACAGAGACAACAGCTCATGTGTGTCAGCATAGTTTGTGTTGGTCATCCTCTAGTCCTTCATCAGTGGTCACAGGACGCTGTTGGCTGGATATTTTTGGTTGGTGGACTATTCTCAGTCCAGCAGTGACACTGAGGTGTTTTAAGAACTCCAGCAGCACTGCTGTGTCTGATCCACTCAGACCAGCGCAACACACACTAACACACCACCACCACATCAGTGTTACTGCAGTGCTGAGAATGATCCACCACCCAAATAGTACCTGCTCTGTGAGGGTCCATGGGGGTCCTGACCACTGAAGAACAGGGTAAAAGGGGGCTAACAAAGTATCAGAGAAACAGGTGGACTACAGTCTGTAACTGTAGAACTACAAAGTGCACCTATATAGTAAGTGGAGCTGATAAAATGGACAATGAGCATAGAAACAAGGAGGTGGTCATAATGTTACACCTGATCAATGTATCTAGGAAAGAAATCTACATAACATTATGTAAACATGTATTTTTGCCTGTCCCAGCACAATGATACAACACTTTGCCATGTAATATAACCATTAAAATATTTAAAAGTATCTCAAATATGAAAGATTATTGTAGGTCCCATTAATGTTTTATGTTATTTGTGTGAATCGTGCACATTTTAGCTGTATTTAAAATGTCTTTTACCTTTACTTCACATTCATATTAGTAAATATGATGTCAGGGGGACTCATCCTTATATCCTCCACTGTAGCACTTAACCAAACCATGTTTTCTGGTTATTCTTCAGTTCTCACTGATGTCAGTTAAAGGCTGTTGTGTTCTGGAATCTCTGGAGCCAAAAATCATTCACTTTATCAAGAGCTTACTTCATGAAAGCTTGACTTCATCCCCCTCCAGAGCATTTCAAAGAGATTCAGGCCATCTAGTGGTTGATGTTGTGATTGCACCGTGGGGTCAGCTCTGTCTGTGAGTCTTCAGGATGGCTGTGAAAGGCTTTTGTAAAACAGTTCATCAATGCAGGATGTACTGATTGCTTAAAGAGTCTGTCATGAAGAGAAAAGAACACCTGAAGTGCGTTTGAGACGCCAGAACTCTTGATTTCACTACATACACTATAATAAGGTGAGGAAAGCAGAAGGTCTAGAGGGCGCACTGCTGCCACCGCGTGAAGACTGTTAGAACTACAGCTGCAGGCAAAAGTTTGGGCCCCCCTGACCAAATTACAGTGAAGTGAACACAACCTCTGCGGCAAACTGCTTTAACAATATCACCTTTCTGCAGCTGTTAATGCGCTTTATATTTGAGTAACTTAAAAAACAGATAAAAGTGAGGCATGTGTAAACAGTTTCAGAACGTAATTAACTCACTAGGTCTTAACTGGCTTATTAGGACTGGATAGGCAGGTGAGAAGAACTGTTATTAAAGCAATAAGGCATGAGAGAAGGTGCATTTCCGTGATTTTATCATAGGGAAAGGTGTTCTTAATCTGCCTTCCTCGTGATGAAATTGCAGTAACAGCCTAAAGTGGCTTATTGATTTTATAAAACGGTGGCCAACAAACACATCATATATATATATATATATACACATATATAATATGTGTGTGTGTGTGTATATATATATATATATATATATATATATATATATATATATATATATACACACACACACAAATATATAAATAATAAAAAAAAATAAATAAATAAAAATATATATATATATATATACACACATACATACATACATACATTCATATTATCTATCTATCTATCTATATATATATATATATATATATATATATATATATATATATATATATATATATATACACACACACACACACACAAAAGGACTGAAATCCACTAAGAAAAATGTATGTTGTCATGCCTACCTGACGTCATAATGGGGGGCTATGACATCACAAAAGCTTGGTTCCATAGTTACCATGGCAACGGAACACTTCAGTTCTGATTCTACTGCAGGCGTCACTTCTTTACTCACCTGTGTGCTGAAGAGACGCGTTTCCAAACCAGAGCAGATATTTTGGAGCAGACTTTGAACTGAGAACAGTAAGTATATCAGTACGTATCTTCTATCATCACAATGTCTTGAAGTATCGTATAACATAATAATAATAATAATAATAATAATAATAATAATAATAATGATAGCCGTAGATATGGTCAGTACTGAAAACTGGACAACTACATGTTTCCTTGCATAGTGAGCATAATTAGGCCTGTTTAATCGGATTTATAGCTGCTGGTAAAACACTGAATAAAAATTATTGTAGTTGTAAGTTTGTTATATTATTATTATTATTATTATTATTATTATTATTAATATTATAGTTCTTATATGTGGCAATACAGGTTCTATTTTGTCTGTTCCAACTTATTCAACCGTAGAAAAACTAAATATTATAATTGTAACGCTGGGTTTGCGAATCAGACGCACGCGGATAAAAAAGAACCCCGGAAGATTTATTGATAATTCATCATGAGGGAGATGAGCAGCGTTCACACCGGACCAGGTCAATAACCAGAACAGCCAAACACGATACATAAGAGTGGGAGAAAACGGACTCGAAATAGGCGATACACGGAACAACGAAGCCAAAACAGTAGCGAGAATCAGAAACGGGAGAAAACAAAATGAGGTCAGTCACGGAACAGAAATCGGAAAATCAAACGGTTGGGTATGACCTGACGGAACAACGGCACAAACACATGAACCAGACAGACTAGTTTATATACAGAGTTCAACAGGTGGTGGTGATTAGAATTCAGGTGACTGTGATCTGCTAGGTGGTTTGTGATTGGTTGAAGAAATCCCATGATAGACAGAGGGATTCTGGGAAATGGAGTCCTTCCTGATATGCGTGTCCGGCTGAGAACCAGGAACCGTGACGAGTTTCTTGTATCATGATAACGTCTTGAAGTATCGTATAACATAACAACAACAAAAAACACAACAACAACAACAACAATAATAATAATAATAATAATAATAATAATAATAATAATAATAATAAAAATAATGTATTTGTCATATTTTCCTCCCCTAAGTCGTTTTTCTCGAGTCAACATGAATAAATGTTGTTCTGTTTTGATGTTGGAGCAGAAATGAGCTCACAGGTTTGTATTTAAAGGTTGATACTGTGGTTTTGTCTTCTAAATCCAGAATCTCCAAAGATGATGAACCAGCTGCGACAGTGGCTTCACCCACCCAGTCCTCCCACAGCCTGTGGGTGCTGGGGGGGCAGCTGCTTCCCAAAGCTGACGTTCTTCAGCAGAGAGGACAAACTCTTGGAGAGGTGGAGACAGCAGGAGAGTCTCCGACAGCTTCGGAGAGAGATAGAGAGAGAGAAGGAGCTGAAAGAGAGGGAGCAGAAGAGAGAGAAGAAGGAGAAGAGGAGGAGGAAGCTGGAAGAGAAGAGGAGGCAGCGAGAGAGGGAGAGGCAGAAGGAGATAGAAATGGTTCAGTGGAGGCTGCAGATCGTGATGGAGCGAGAGAGAGTGGAGAAGGAAGAGAGGCAGGAGCTCCAGAGACTCCGAGAGCTGGAGAAAGAACTGCAGCTGAAAGAGCTGAGAGAGAGAGAGAAGGAGAGAAAGGAGAGAGAGCGCCAGCCGTCCACTAGAAAGGTAGGACTCATGATCTCATTCATCACAGTGTTAGTGATTAGAGACAGTTTAGTCTTCAGTGAAAGGTTCTGTTATTGATCAGTGACAGTTTATTAGTTATATTAGTGAAATATTTTACAGTGAGAGTCGAGATTCGGCCTCAGCTCTAAACTACTGGACTGGACAGAATGATGATTTTAGTCACTCATATAATGAACCTCAGTGGAGCTTTTCAGGTCTGGTAAAGTGTGTGATCGGTGTTTGATTGATCTGCTCTTTCTCCTCTTTATTGACTGGTGGAGTCTGTGGATAAAGAAGGAGAGGTTCAAAAAGAAATGAAAGGAGAGGCTGCAGTTCAGCAGTGATGAGTTCTAGACTGACTGTGTGTGAAAGACTCATCACTGGTTCTCAGCAGTTCTTTAAATGTAGTGAAAGGCTGCATCACTGAGAAACGCTGCATTGGCTACTGCAGAGAAAGTCAGCCCAACAGAACGAAGCAGAACTTCCCATTAGTCGAATCGAACCTGTACTGGGCTGTTTGGATCTCTTTAGCTAAGCTAAGTTAGCCAGGAGAAAGGACCTGGCTAGCATTAGCTTAGCTAGGAGGCTCCACCTCCAGACACCAGAGAACAGGTTTAATTTCAGCTGATCAGCCGATCGACTTTGCTCCCTCAGAGTTCAGTCATTATCATCTAAATTTGTGTCAGTAAAGTTTTTGTTAGTGAGAAACGAACCTGTTCTCTGGTGAGCAGAGCTGACAGCATACTAGCTAAGCTAACAGTAACCAGCTACTCTCTCCTGGTTAGCAGCAGCATTTAACATTTAGGAATTGGCGTTAGATTGAAACTTTAACGTTTATCGTACAGTGGAGTAAAAACCGGGCACTACTTTTATTTATTTGGCGTAAATGTAAATAAACTAGACTTATTTGAGAGCCCAGTTAGGCTGAGCCCCGGTTTTAAACATTGTCCAGCTTGTTAAACTGTGTCTGTGTGGAAAAAAAACGGCTGGAACAGATTCCATCCATGCTTAGAACCATTCAGACCAGGCAGACAGACAGACAGGTAGAGAGATAGATAGATATACAGACAGACAGACAGACAGATAGATAGATATACAGACAGACAGACAGACAGACAGATAGATAGATAGATAGATAGATAGATAGACAGACAGAAAGACAGATAGATAGATAGATAGATAGATAGATAGATAGATAGATAGGTAGATGGATGGAGTTTATGTTTCTTTTCCTTCTTTTCCTTTATCCATGTCCATCAGTTTTTCCTCTTCTCTTTCTCTCTCTTTCTCTCCGTCTCTCCTCCTCTCTCTTTCTCTCTCTTTCTCTCCGTCTCTCCTCCTCTCTCCACTCTTTCTCCTGTTTCTCTCATTCTGTCTGAGTGTAAAAGCCCAGAGCTGATGGTCTCAGTCAGGAAGGTGTTCTTCACAGACTGTGTGTGTTGTGTGTCTAAAGGCCCTGAGAGGGAGCGGCAGGGAGGGAGAGACCAGAGGAATGGAGGAGATCGTCAGAGAGCAGGAGATGCAGCTTCTGAGATGCAGAGAGAGACGCAACCAGCTGAAAAGAGAGGTGAAGAGGATGAAGGAGAAAATAGCAGAGGAGGAGAGGAATCATCCGGATGCTGAGGGAGAAAGACTGCTCCTCCTGAAAGAGAGAGAGATGGAGGGTTTGAGAAGGAGAGAGAGAGAGGAGGCTCTGAAAAGAGAGATAGAGAAAGTAAAGGAAAGAATGGCTTTCGAGGAGAGACGCAGAGAGGAGAAGATCAGCCTGCTGAGAGAAACGGAGAGAGAGAGGGAGAATCTGAAAGAAAGACAGAGAGAGGAGAGAGTGAGGAGAGGGAAGGAAGAAATGAAAGAGAGAATGGCACAGAGAGAACGACAGAGAGAGGAAGAAAGGAACCAGGAGAGAGAAGAGCTGATGGTTCTGCAAGAGAGACAGAGAGAGATGGAAAGAGAGAAAGAGAGAGAGGAAGAGTTAAAGAGAGTGCAGCGCCAGCGCAAACAAAAGGAGAGGGAGCAAATGGAGAAAAGAAAGAGGGAAGAGGAGATGAAAAGAGAGAAAGCAAAGCTGGAAGAACTGGAGGAGTCGTGCAGAAAGATGGAGAGAGAAATGAAGATGGTGAGGAAGGCAGCAAAAGAGAGAGAACAGGCTGTGCTGAAAGAAATGGAGAGAAAGAGAGAGAGAGAAAGAGAAGAGATGGAGAGAGAGCTGATGGAGAGGCAGAAACGAATGGAAGAGGAGGTACAGGAGCGACTGAGAGAAATGGAGAAGGAAAGAGAGAAACAGAAAGAGTTAGAGAGAGAAAGAAAGGATCAACAGATGGAGGTGGAAGAGAGACTGAGAGAGATGGAGAGAAAGATGGAGGAGGAAAATGAACTGACTCTGAGGAGAGAGGAGGAGAAATGGAGAGAAAGAGTGAAAAATCTGGAGGAAGTCTGGCAGCATAGATGTCTGGAGATGGACAGACAAAAAGAGGAAGAAATGAGGCTTGTGAAAGAGAAAGAACAAGAGATGGAGAGAATAATGTCTGAAGAAAGAGAAAAGGAGAAGAAAGAGAATGAAAAAAGGAGGGAGTTTGAAAAGCTGGAGAAAGAGAGAGCAGAAAAGGAAAGAATGGAGGAGAAACGCATGAAGACCCAGATGGAGAAGCAGCGAAAGACTGAACGAGAGAAACAGCAGAAAGAGTGGAGAGAGGAGGAGAGCAGGAGAGAAAGAGAGAGAAAGAGAGAAGAAGAAAGAGTGATGGACATGGAGAAAGAAAAGCAAGAAAAAGAAACAGACATGCTGGAGAAAAAGCTTGAAGAAAGGAAGATGGAAAAGCTGAGAAAGCTGAAGGAGAAAGAAGAGAAGCTGGAGAGAGAGAAAAGGATGATAGCAGAAAAGAAGAAAGAGAAGGAAGAAAAGATGAAAGAGATGAAAAGACAGCTGGAGGCGAGAGAAAAGGATGAAAAGAGAAAGAGGAGAGAATGTAAAGCAGTAGAGCTGGAGTTCACTTCAAATCTCAGAGACAAGGAGAAGATAGAGGAGGAGGAAGGAGAGAAAGAGATGGAGAGAGAGATGAAGGAAAGAGAGAAAGAGATGGAGAAGAAGAGAGAGGAGGAGAAAGAGACGAAGGGGCAGGGAGACGCCACCTGCAGGTACAGCCTGGGAGAGGAAGATAAGGATGGAGGAGATATGGAGAGAACGACAGAGGGCAAAGAAGAAAAGCAGAGCGACATGGGGTCTCTTTTTGAAGAAGTGTGGAGGACAGCTGTGAACAGAGAGGAGGAACGAGAACAAGTTCTAGATATGGAGAAGCAGAGAGAGATGGAGAAGGAGGAACCAGAGAAGCAGAGAGAGGAGGAGGGACGTCAGAAGGAGAGCAGCGAGAGAGAGCTGGAGATCGAGAGGATAATGGAGGCGAGGCGTCAACACATGGAGAGAGAAATGAAGAGGAAGAGAGAACTGATGAAGAAGCTGTTTTCTCCAGGAGTGAACATGTTCAGGACAGAGAACCGGGTTCAGCGCAGGAAACAGAGGAACCTGAAGGAGCCCTCAATCAACGAGGAGGAGCAGGCCCAGCTTGAAGGACAAGAGGAACCTCAGAGGTCTAGCTGGCCTGTTTCTCCAAACGGAGAACCGCTGGTCATCTCCATAAAACCCAGTAACCCAGTCCTGGAGGAGCCTGAACCATGTGAACCCTCCCCAACTGACCCCCCCACTGACCCCCACACAGAGGACACTGTGGGTGGAGATGAAAGCTCTGTGGTGGAGGAAGCCGTCCTCAAGCCTGAGGGTTTCACTGAGCCACAATCAGAAGAGGCTCTCAATGAAGCAATGGAACAGGCTTCACCCACCCAGACTGACCACCCAAAAGATGGACCCACATCCTCTGAGACGGTGGAAGAGGCCGACCACGACGCTGGAACTGGGAAACAGGCCGAGAACAAGAACCAGAGGATGCGCATCATCGGCTGGATCAACCAGAAGGTCAAGGAGAGACACCAGAAGTCCATCCAGAAGAGCTTCATGAAGGAGATGAACTATGGATACAGGCTTTTGAGTGAGTTTCAGCAACTTATTTTATAGACTTCACTGTAGAACCTCATATGATTGGATAAAGCTGTCCTAGAGAACAGACTTCAACCAAATATCAGTGTTCATATTTAATATCAGCAGAAGCTTAAAAGTCTCGAGTTATTCTTGTCATTTTGCTGCACTTTTGATTTGGATTTATTATTTGTGTGCATTTAAATAATAATAGTTACACAGGCAGTTTTGTTATGAATTCCAATGATATTCAATTTACATATCTACGATTTTGAGTCTGCATTTCTGACATTTATCAGTTTGTTTTGCTATCAAAAATGACAGAAAACTGGCAAATATGTAAAGAATGTTTTTTGTCTTTCCACAAAATAAGAACGTACGCGCGACAGTAACGTTTCCTCAGCGTGAGACAGGTTAACGTGTGAAAATGTGGCGTTTCAGTACTTTTTTTAACGCTCTCACCTGAATCCACTCAGTAGTCGGATGAGTGTCGCTCTCGTGTTCCACAAGTGGCCACTGGCGACAGAACGGTGAGGAGAACGTTATTCAGACGGAAAGCACTCAGCTGGGTTAGCCTCAGTGAGCTAATCAGCTAGCCATGCTAACTGTGTTTTTTGAGAAGGGAACATAATGTATATAAAATTGATGAATAATTGCTTTGGCTGGCCATAAAGTTGCTGTAGAGCCTTTATTACTGTTGTTGTTACTCATGTAGCCTTTAGCATGCGCACAAGCCAGCTAGCCGAGTAAAGTGATGGAGTCATTTCGGGGTCTTCCCTGTGTTTCCAGGGTCCTGTGTTCCCCCGGCCCAGTGTTCCCTCTTTGTAACATGGAGACACAGTCCTATTTTCCCAGGTTCCTCTATTTCCTCACTGAAATTTGAACAGGATATAGCTCTGTGTTTCAGTTCGTCTCAATCATATTTCCTCAACACTAATATAAAAATAGCATCCAGGAACTTCTGGTGTATTTACAAATGTACATATTCTGATGTTAAATGTTCAGAAAAAAAATCTGAATTAGTTTTTTATGTACATTCAGCTTCTAAATAGATTCCCTTATTAAAACATACTCTGACCTAACATTACAGAACATTAGCAGAGTTAGCGTTCATGCTAACAAGGGAATGTTTGAGCTTATCTTCATTGAAAACATCGACCATCCATTTCAGTGCTGTTTTACCTGCTCTTGGTAACTCGCCCTCAACATTTCCCTTCATACCACATCAAACTTCTTACTTTATTCTGATAACTTTCTAGTTAGTGAACTAAATGCTACACAACCAGCAACAACAATAAAAAGGGCAGAAGAGCCTCAAACCAGACGAAGCAATTCCTCAAAAAGTTAATGTGTCTTACAGAGTTTAGCTTTCAGAGGTTCACTTAATGTATCACATTGATTTATGATGTATAAGGAGTTACACAAAGGTAACCTTCAACTCTGGGAATCTAGAACCTTGGAAAAAAAGAACCTTGGGAACTTCCCGGAATTTTCAACTTAAAGTCCAGAAAATCGAATGGTGTAGTTTGGAAACGTTAACCATTTTAAAGTAGTTTACTGCTGTGGCTTATAAACAGAGTCATCTACCAATATTTGAAATGGGAAATGCGTCAGTTAATAATGATTTTTGGTCACGTTCTGCTGCCGAAGTGAACGTTTGTGTTCACTCGATCCGTCGCTCCTCCGAGGACTCATCTAATAAACTTCACTTGAGCTAATAAAGTAATGAACGGCTCTTAATCTGGCACCAGGGATTCCTCCAAAGGGGAAAAGACTAGTGGACGAGTGGACGAGGGCTGGTTAGAACCGGTACTGAACAGGTGTCGTGTCTTTAAAAGAGAGAGTAGAGGTCCTGTATTAATATCAACTCTTTCTCTCCAAACAGAAACTTCTGAAGGAGTGATGACATTGGCAAAGTATGAACAGGCCAAAAGAGAGAAACTAAGGAAGAAGGAGGAGAGGAGGCAGGCACTGGAGGACAGATGGAGAGAATGGGAGGAGAAAAGGGCTGAGAAGAAAGCTAGGAAAGAGGAGGAGAAACAGGCATTGGAGGCCAAACGGAGAGAGGAAGAGAAGAAAGAGGCTGAAAAGAAAGCAGAGAAGAAAGCTAAAGAAGAGTAGAAGAAAAAGAATGAGAAGAAAGCCTCCTCAGCTCCACACGGCACCATCATGAGCAACATGGCGTCATTATATATGCCGAGAGGATGCTTTGTGCTGAACTTCAATACTGAAAGGTAAAATATTTCTGCTTCATAAAGTTCATAATGTTAGAAGCCAAAACAATTTAAATTTAAAATGATCTCATCTGGTCAAAACATCTGATCATCTGAAGAGTCTTCACTAGTGAGAGATCACTTCACCATTTCCTGGGTTAAAACGGTGAATTTCACAGAGAAAAAACGCCAAGTTTATTTGTTCATATCATTTTTAATACATGCTGAGTCAGCATAAAAACTAAAAACTATTGTCCAGTGCTTTGTTCATAGGATCTTCTCTAGGATTATTAGCTTAGCCTATCCTTCCTAATATTGGCTACACTTGTTTGCCTTCATTTCCATACTGTATTACTAAAATATACAACTCCCCCACGAAAAGTGGTCCAACATAATATCATGAAGGGACTATGTATGTCATATAAGCTTAAAAATCACACTGAATTAGTTCACATAATAGCAAAGTAGAGTCAGACTGATCTCTCTTTTTGAAAATACCTGTAAGCTTTAGCTCTCTGAGTGTGATTTTGACATTTTTAGACTATTTTTACATTGTAAATAAAGATGTGACACATTTTATTTTGGTAGGTATGAAGATGGAGAGTTAAAGTTCAGGTTAAGTTACGGTGAAGTTGGAACAAAGTGATGTAAATACTAAGAAGTTTAAATATGAAGAAAATGTCCAATAAGTTATTTTTATTGAAACTCTGTTTTAGATCCACTCATCAAACTGGACGGCTGGATGACCGTCAAAAGTTGAAGAACTGTGGAAGAACTGAAGCAGCACAAACGGGGCCAAGACTGGGAGACTTATGGCTGCCCTTATGAGAAACGCGCTGCATTTCAAAGATAAACGTATGTTAAACCCCACAAACCAGGCCATTTCAAATTACCCTGAAATACACCTCCTCCTCTCAAACAGCAGACGCTTTTTCCTTAATGTACATATCTATTATGTCCTGCATCTAAATGAATTAGATGTTCTTTGGAAGCTAAGAAGTTTCCATCCGGTTAACTGCATCATATCACAAACTGTATTACTGAACATTTCAAGAAAACTAAAAATGTGTAGCCAAGTTTATAGTCCTGCTGATCAAGGCAGTAGATTCATTTGTAAAATTTATTTCTTTCACCTAAAATCTTCTATCTGTGTTTCCTCCAGCAGTAACACCACTATCTTCTGTAGTGCCACCAGCTGTAACACCACTGACCTCAGCAACTCCTCCAGCGATAACACCATTGACCTCCACACCTCCTCCAGCAGCAACACCATTGACCTGATCAAAGGAGTAGGTTCATTTCTAACATTTCTGGGTCTAAAATGTTGTGTTTGTTTCTCATCTTTCACCTAACATCTCTTCTATCTGCATCTCCTCCAGCGGTAATACCACTGGCCTCAGCACCTCCTCCAGCATTAACACGACTTATCTCTGCACTTCCTCCAACAGTAACACCACTGCCTTCTGCACCTCCCAGGAGTAATGCCACTGACCTCTCCACCTCCACCAGTGGTAACAACACTGACCTTCACATCTCCTGCAGTGCTAAGACAAATGTGTTCAGCAACTCCTCCAGCAGTAACACCACTTACCTTTGCATCTCCTCCAGCGGTAATACAACTGACCTGCACAACTCTTCCAGTAGGAACGCCACTGATCTCTCTCTCTGCATGTCCTCCAGCGGTAACACCATTGACCTCTACAACCCCTCTTGTGGTAACACTGCTGACCTCCACAGATCCTCCAGCAGTAACACCACTGACCTCTACACCTCCTCCAGCGGTAACACCTTTAACCTCTACAGCACCTCCAGTAGTAACATCACTGACTTCTGCATCTTCTCCAGCAGTAACACCGCAGATCTTTACACTGCCCCAGCAGTAAAACTACTGACCTCTGCATCTCTTCCAGCAGTGAAACCACAGACCTCTACACCTACTCAAACAGTAACACCATTGACCTCCACACCTCTTCCAGCAGTGAAACCGTGGACATCTGCACCTCCTCCAGCAGTAACACCATTGACCTCCTCACCTTGTCCAGTGGTAAGATCACTGATTTCAGCAACCCCTCCAGCATTAACACCACTTACTGTTGCATTTCCTCCAGCAGTAACACCACTGACCTGCACGCCTCCTCCAGCAGTAACACCACAGACCTCTGCATTTCCTCCAGCAGTAACACCACTGACCTGCACGCCTCCTCCAGCAGTAACACCACAGACCTCTGCATTTCCTCCAGCAGTAACACCACTGACCTGCATGCCTCCTCTAGCAGTAACACCACAAACCTCTGCATTTCCTCCAGCAGTAACACCACTGACCTGCACGCCTCCTCCAGCAGTAACACCACAGACCTCTGCATTTCCTCCAGCAGGAACACCACTGACCTGCACGCCTCCTCCAGCAGTAACACCACAGACCTCTGCATTTCCTCCAGCAGTAACACCACTGACCTGCACGCCTCCTCCAGCAGTAACACCACAGACCTCTGCATCTCCTCCAGCAGTAAAAACATTGTCCTCCACACTTCCTCCAGCAGTAACACCATTGACCTCCACACCTCCTCCAGCAGTAACACCGCAGACCTTTACACTGCCCCAGCAGTAAAACCACTGACTTCTGCATCTCCTCCAGCAGTGAAACCACAGACCTCTACAACTACTCAAACAGTAACACCATTGACCTCCACACCTCTTCCAGCAGTGAAACCATGGACATCTACACCTCCTCCAGCAGTAACACCATTGACCTCCTCACCTTGTCCAGTGGTAAGATCACTGATTTCAGCAACCCCTCCAGCATTAACACCACAGACCTCTGCATCTCCTCCAGCAGTAAAAACATTGTCCTCCACATTTCCTCCAGCAGTAACACCATTGACCTCCACACTTCCTCCAGCAGTAACACCACTGACTTGCACACCTCCTCCAGCAGTAACACCGCAGACCTTTACACTGCCCCAGCAGTAAAACCACTGACTTCTGCATCTCCTCCAGCAGTGAAACCACAGACCTCTACACATACTCAAACAGTAACACCATTGACCTCCTCACCTTGTCCAGTGGTAAGATCACTGATTTCAGCAACCCCTCCAGCCGTAACACCACTTACTGTTGCATTTCCTCCAGCAGTAACACCATTGACCTCCACACTTCCTCCAGCAGGAACACCACTGACTTGCACGCCTCCTCCAGCAGTAACACCACAGACCTCTGGATCTCCTCCAGCAGTAAAACCATTGACCTCCACACTTCCTCCAGCAGGAACACCACTGACTTGCACACCTCCTCCAGCAGTAACACCACAGACCTCTACACTTCCTCCAGTGGTAACACCATTGTCCTCATCAGCTCCTCCAGCAGTGACACCACTGACCTCCACACCTCCTCCAGCAACCATTCAAGGTATGCAGATGTTAAATACACAGTCCATTTTAAATTTCACAGATTTTGCCCACTGCTCTCAGCGTTTTGTTCTTATTGTATATATACAGTATATGATGCCCCACAGCTGAAGAACAGAATTCAGATAACTGTATCACAAACTGTCCTAGTCCAGCTGATCAAGCCAGTAGTTTAAACTATACCTCAGATCAATTATTATCATGTTAATAATTAATGCTGGTTCTGGAAATATCACATTTACTGTAATTCCCATTACGCACTTATTTCTTGTCTTGCAGACAAAAACATCTTTCAGATACCAGTCTGGACTGAGAGTCTTTATCACTGCCCTTTCTATAGAGGGCAGTTACCTGCTGGTCTGATTATATAATGGCATTTACTGTTTGCCAGGCAACTCCTCCTCCAGCAGTGACCAACCTATCCCACTGACCTCTTAAGGTAATTTTAAGAATTAAATCGATATATTTACAGCCCATGTTCTATTCATTTCAGATCATGAATGTCATATTTAACAAAACCCAGATTTAACTGAAGCTTTATTTACAAACACAGGTGAACAAAGTTCCTGAGCTCCCAGCTGGTGTAGCTCTGAAGATTCACTGGAGAGACAGTCACGCAGTCTGGAGCCTCACAGAATGAACAGATCCTGAACAGTTCTGACAGAAGAAGTCCAGAAAAAACAACACATGATGTGTCAGAACATAAATAAACATCAAATAAAATCAATAAACTGTTTCTCCTCATAAACAAAACTCTGAAGGAAATTAATCAAATCTTGAACAGCTACCAAAATTAATAATACTGTGGTTTAAAAGTATGTCTGTGCGTTGCTCTAGATGTGATGCAGTGCTGTTCAGTCATATTTGAATGGCCCAGGCGTGTAGTTGACCTGCCCAGAACTCTACATGCATGTCCTCAGGTGGTGGATTATCATCTGAGAGGGGCACCCTGTTAGATTAGATTAGATTAGATTAGCTGAGATTTGATTTTTACTTTCTTGATCCCAGAGTGGAACTGTTTCATTGCAGCAGCAAACACGAAGCACATTAAATCACAAGGACACTTACAGACATAGAGGCAGATTTACCATAACCCAGCATTCTGGTTTCACATGTTTGTGAAACTTATAAAACCAGAGGTGAGTCCATGTCGAAGAAGCAAAACAATAAAGCGATAAGCCACTCCAGACAAAACAAGACGCAGGCTAACTAAACTCAACCAATAACGCCCGACCCCTATAAAGCAGGTTTCCGCTCATGACAGGCAGAACTTGAGTATGATATAATGGAGTTGGAATTGAATGGGACAGATGAAATATGTCTGAGCAGCTGCACAGTAGCCTAAGATCACTACGTGCGATGCCAAGTGTCAGCTGGAGTGGTGTAAAGCCCCCGATACTGGAGCCTGAAGCAGCAGGAACATGTTCTCCGAGGTGCCGAGTCACTCTTCAGTATCTGGCAGTCTGGGGACGAATCAAGCAGATTTTCGGACTTATAACGACACGGTGAGAGGTATGTAACTGAGAAATAGCTCCATGAAAACTGATTATTTATGAAGGTAAAACACAAAACGAATGATAAAATACAGAAATATTCTGTTTAGAAATCCGTTTTTAAAACTCAATATTAATGATAATCCCTTATTTACAGATTTAGATTTCTTGGTTATGGATTTTGCTTCCTGGTTCTCAAAACTTTTTGGCCTCATTCTGACGTCACACACATTGACACTTCTGGTTGTTTGAAGTTGAAGCTCCAAACATATTTTATCATTTGGCCTTCGGTAATAGCCGTAGGTTTCAGATGCTTTTCTGTTTGTTTTTATTTGCTGTTTTGTAATCAT